AAAGGCCCTGGATAATCCAAGCGAGATATGATTGATCGCTGTTTATGTAGCGGTAGGTAACTGCAATCCGGTACGCCAGAAGAACGAATAGGTATGCTGCATCGAGCTCACCAGCCCCGGTAGAAAGATAACTAAGCAGGGGAAGCTGACCCCATAAAACCTGGCCTGTGAGATCGGAAACCATGGTGACCACGGTCATTGCATCTATAAATATTGGCTTGCCTTGTACTCCGTAGCGGGATGGATGATGGGATGGCCTTCCCAGAGGGCTTTGTGCAGTTCGAATGAGGAGCCTGCTCGCGCGAGACAGAGATAGCAGATAATATGTGAAGATCAAGCGGAAATGAATTCCATAAAATATATAAATGAGCCTTAAGGTTCAAGTTGAAGATTGCAGTGGTGTTGCTCGTCTTGTCTTGGCGGCTCTGGGAGGTTGGAGCGATCGGCACCAAAAGCCACAGCCACAGGCCGCGGCCGGGGAGCTTCAGCCCAGATTTGTCTAGATCCGAATCGCAAAAGTAGAACCTTTCCACCAACCTACCTCCTCCCTCCTCCTCCCATCACAAACTCAAAAGTTTTACTGCAGCGAACTAACGCGCCCGACATCATGGACAACGCGTCAAAACGCAAGCTCGACGCCACTACAGACCCCTCCCCAAATGCCAGCACAGAACCACCCAGCAGCACACCCGACAAGCGCCGCAAAGTCATCGGCCCATCGCTCCCACCCCCGACAACCACAGAGGCCGATTCAGGTTCTAACAGCAACGACTCCGACTCCGACTCCGACTCCGATGACTTTGGCCCTTCCCTCCCTCCACCCGACGGCTCGATACCCGCTGCGCCAAGCGCACAACCTACCGCCGCCACCACCGCTACTCAACAACACCTAAACACAGAGAAAGAGACACAATCGGAGAAGTCAACAGCCGCGCCGAAACGAGATGCATGGATGCTTGCGCCGCCGACGGGGGACTCGCGCTCCTCGCGCGTCGATCCGACAAAGCTCCGCAATCGGAAATTCCAGAGTGGGCCGCGGGTAGGCAACGCCCCGTCCGGGGGCGGTGTTGATAGTTCATGGACGGAGACCCCAGAGGAGAAGATGAGGAGGTTGCAGAATGAGGCGATGGGGATTGTTTCGTCTTCTTCTGGAGCTGGGGGAGGAGGGGACGGGGGAGCTGGGGAGGATAAAGCTGCGCAGGCTATGAGGGAGAAGGTGCAGAGGTATAATGAACGGGTTAGGAAGGATGAGTCGCTGGTGGAGGAGAAGAAGAGGAGGGATAAAGGGAAGGAGGGTGAGGAGGAGGATGATCCTAGTAATAGGGCTTTTGATAAGGAGAAGGATATGGCGCTGTCGTCGACACTTACGCATGCACAGCGGAGGGAGATGATGAGCAAAGCGGCGGATTTTGGGTCGAGGTTTTCCAGAGGGAAGTTTCTATGACTCTTGCACAGGGGGTCATAGTGTATTTACGGGGCTGGATTTGAACAATAGTGAATATTACGGAATAAGAAATAAATGTATAATTTATACTTATTTGTAAACTTTACCATCAATCATCAAGTCCCAGTTCAACAGGACGAGGGTACAGGCATATAAGCAAGGTGTCTAGCGAGGTGTATGAATGGTTCAATCAGAGAATGTTGCACTTCTTCGGAAGTCCGCAAGGACCTTCGTCACTCTTCTCCGGCCTTGTTGGTTGTTGAGTCTGCTCCGGCTGGGCTGCTGCTGTTGTGCTTTTCTGCTGTGAAGCAGCAGCAGCAGCAGGCTGGGCCTCAGACTTGGCTTCGGCACTGCCATGCAGTCATGCGAAGCTGACGCGAGAGACGTGCTCATAGAAGGCCTTGCCCTGAGACTCAGCGATCTGGAGCTCGAGCTGAGTAGGTTGGCGGGAGCCATCAGCACCCTAAAGAGTAGGTCAGTCAAACAAAGCTATGGGAACGTGCCATTACAAAAGGGAGAACATACGGCGAAAGTACCAGCACCCCAGGCGCTACCGCCGTGGACTTCCTCGAGGTTGGAGAGCAGAGGAAAGACGGTCTTGTAACCGAGGGGCACGTAGAGGAAACCGTGGTGGGTGAGGGTGCTCATGGAGGCAATGGCCGTGGACTCCTGACCACCACCAAGGGTTCCAGTCGAAACGAAGAGACCGGCGTACTTGCCGTAGAAGCCGCCGGTAGCCCAGATGCCGCCGGTGCGGTCCCAAAAGGCCTTCCACTGGGCAGGGAAGTTACCGTAACGGGTAGGAATACCAAAGAGGACGGCATCGTACTCGAGCAGCTGGTCGGGCTTCTCAAGAACGGGGACGGAGGACTTGGGGGGAGCGTGCATCTTAGCGAGGACCTCATCAGGAAGCGTTTCCTTGATCCTGGTGGTTGTATACGGTGAGTTTGGACAAAATGCTGACAGTTGCGGGTGCATGGCTGACTTACTGGTACATATCGGCCTTGCCGCCGGCGGCCTGAATACCCTTGAGTTCGGCGTGGGCCAGCTTCTCAATGTGGCCGTACATGGAGTACTGTAGGGCATGGCTGTTAGGCGGGTACTATTGCATCATACGGGGAGAAGCTTGGCGAGGGCGGCACTTACGAAGACGATAGCCAAACGGGGAGCCATTGTGAAGGTTATGACGTTTAATGAGAGATGAGGGAGATAGCTTGGAATGAGAATCAAGTCAATTGAGGACGAACTTGAGGAATTGGAGAAGAAAGAGATGAGAGAGGGGTGATTTATAGGAAGTGATCAAGGCGGGGCGTTTGTACAGCTTGGTCGATCAACTTGCTTAACTATGGAAACTCTTGATTTTGTCATCGATTACGGATGCGGCAGCTTCTCCCGTTGATTGGTGCGGGTGAGACAATCCGTGGGTCTTCATGGTCTTAGTTCCAAGGCTGACTGTCTTACAGAGGCCTGACAAATGCAACGCAATTGCTTCCTAAGTAAGCCATGTCGGAAATGTGCTCCGGAATCGAGGAATTAACCTGCAGGAGTCAGGACCGCCACGGAAGACTTTGATCAGTATGGAAACTGAAGACCGGACCGGGCCTCTATGGCCAGTCGGGGTTTAGGGTGCAGAAGCCCACATCATAAGGTAAACATCTAATATTCTGGCACGCACTACGACTATTTTTCCAGGGTAGGAAATGGATGTAACCATCCATCGATCATGGTGCCTAGGCACTCACAGAGGTCCTACTATCAGGACCGCTTCAATGTACTGGCTAAAGCGGACAGAGTTATTATCCGTGATCTGTATTCAGTTCTCCCATGACGTCTAGTATCTAGTTCTTGGACTGTGACTGAATATAACTAAGTACATCAATGATGGTGATAGAGCATGCCGCGAGCCGGTAAGCACAGGACTTCATGCGAGGACCGGAGAGAAACATCAAATACTCAATCATCGAGGTTCAGAGTTTGCAAGTAGGCCATGGAGAGCGCCATGCACACATTCGTTTGTTGAGCCGTTGTGGTCCGCTCCCGCGCTGAGTTCGCTGAGAGTCGCCTCTGCGCTAAGGGTCTATGGAGGCGGCCAGCTCCGCTTTGCGACTGGCCGTTATTGATGAGCCCTAGTATGGCCCGCTCTATTCGGACCGAAGTACGAGGCGATAGGATCTTGAGCAAGAACCAACGTAGTAGCCGGTTGCCAGTTGTATTGCGTGTGGTTGGGAATCGCTCAGATGGGTTGCAAGTCTCGCTGCGTCCGGAAGTATGATTGTATTTCCGTCGAGCCTGCCTTGCTACCGATTTAACCTCGACCTCGGCCACGGTACCTGCCGCGCATCATGAACCCTCCGCGACCACGCTCGCTTCTCCATTCACGCTCCCTTTCACGTTCCCTCTCCTGCTCTTCTCGAATCAGATTTCTTTCATGCTCGAGTTCCTCTTCCGTCTTTTCTACCCTCATTGCTGGCTTGGGCAAATTCTCCGACCACCGGGGATGGGCGTCCGCGCAGGATGGACCTTCGGGGCAGAATCCAGCGAGGTAGTATTGACATAGACGTCGACGGACATGTCGCTTCGCGCACAATGGGCCGAGAGGGCAGAAGCCTTGATCATAATGTTCACACGGAGGTAGCCGGGCTTGCTCCCTGACATGTTGGTACAAGCAGTCATCCCCGTTGGGGCAATATCCGGATCGCGAGAAGGACTGGCATTCTGGCATTCGACGAAGGTTGTATTCATGTAGATACTCGCACTTAAGGCCCTTTTTGCACAGTCCTTTGAGAAAATGCTTACAGACAAGCGACCCATGTGTGGTGGACGGCGCCAATCCGGAGGCAGTTGTCGTGGACGTGGTTACTCGTGAGGGCGTCGGGTGTCTGTCGGGACAGGCTGGGCCTAATGGGCAGTGTCCTTCACTGTATGCCTTGCAGACGGGGACGTCGGTAGCGAGGCCAAAGCCATAGCTCTTGCGAAGGAAGGGAATAAAGGAGAAGTGATTGTAATCCGGGTCGCGCGTGCGATCTGTTGATACAATTTGAGCTGCAGCATGATGAATATCCGCAGCCATGACGTTGACCTGACCTGGAGAAGTAACAAAACCAGCCCGGTATAAGTTGCACAACGATATGAGAGGATAGAAGTCTTCGGCGAGAATCGTTCAATGTGAGTTTCGGAGCTTCAAGATGAACAGCAACCGAGTCGTCGCGGATGAGGAAAGATATAACACACGGAAGGCGGTGGAACAACCCATCTATCCAGTAACAATAGTTATGCACGGAAAACTAAATTCCATGTAAATAGGCTTTATCACGCATGGACCAAATTTAAAAAGATACCTTAGGAAAAGGCTAGACAAATGAGTTGAGGACACGGACAAAAAGAGAATGCTCACACTCGGATTCGAACCGAGGATCTCATGATTACTAGTCATGCGCTTTACCAACTAAGCCATGCGAGCTAATTGGTTGAAGGCAACCATTTAGGACTTATGGCCGGAAATGTTCTCCTTAAAATTGTAAAATACCTTAGCAAAAAGATAAGAAGCAAAAAGATATGCTCGCACTCGGATTCGAACCGAGGATCTCATGATGACAACCAAGTACTAGTCATGCGCTTTACCAACTAAGCCATGCGAGCTGATTGGTTGACATTTTGCATTCTTTTTGCATATATACACCACGTAAGGTAAGTATAGCTCGGGCTCGAGAATCCAATTTGAAAGAAGGCGGTCTCTTAAGCGGCTCACTTCATGCGGCAGAATAGAAGGCATTGTTACGATTACGACATGCACTTGGAGTGCCACAAGCTCACTTGACCTGACCTTCTACCTATCTTCACCTCTGCTCCATATTCTGTCTTTTTACTGACCTCACTGCGCTACGGAATGATCTAAGAGCCTTCTGCGAGACCTTGGCAATTTTTTTTTTTTTTTAGAGAGGCCCACATTGTTAATCTTCCCCTTCCCGCTGCGCTCATGGCATCCCGCACGATCATTCTGAGATTCGAAAGCCGCAACGGCCAGTTTCGGTTGAACGTCAGCCCGCAAGACCAATTTCTCTCCCTCCAACCAAAGGTATAGCCTTGAAAGCCTATTTTCTGTCTAGAAGCGCAGTAAATGACTGACTTGCGAGCTGTAGATTCTGGAACACCTACCTTCGGACGTGGAACCTTCTTCCCTTAACCTTTCGAACAAACCTATTGGTGCCGGTGGCGATGAGCGACTTCTGAACACCTTAGAGGGCGTCACCTTTGATCAGGTTGGGCTGAGGTCAGCAATGAGCGGTGCTTGAGTTTTGGGCCAGCATAGCGCTGACATTGGACATCTAGACATGGCGACAAGCTATTTATCGGATATCAACTAAAGCAAGATATCCAAGATGGTGCTAGTGATGGAGTGCATGCAGGCTCATCCGCACGACGCTTGAACGGTGCTCCCATAAGCCAAGAAGCCGCACCTACTTCCCGATCACAGCACAATAAGGCCGACTCCGTCGCTCTCAGGAATCCGTGGGAAGCAGTTCGGCAATCGGCTCTCGATGACCGCTTGGAGAAGAAAGATGGAAAGATCCATCGGAGTCGTGACGCGAAAATGTGCAAACACAGTGCAAAAGGCATGTGCGATTACTGTATGCCACTTGAGCCATACGATGCAAAATACCTAGCCGAAAAGAAGATCAAGCACCTGTCATTTCACTCCTATCTGCGGAAAATCAATGCTGCCACGAATAAACCCGAATTGAAAAGCTCCTTCATGCCGCCACTTAACGAGCCTTACTACAGAGTAAAGCCAGACTGTCCATCAGGCCATCCAGCTTGGCCGGAAGGGATCTGCACCAAATGCCAACCGAGTGCGATCAGTTTACAGCCTCAAGAATACCGAATGGTCGATCATGTGGAATTTGCTACCCCCGACCTGATCAACTCGTTGCTCGACTTCTGGCGGAAATCGGGCTCTCAGCGTCTAGGGTACCTCTACGGGACGTATGAAGAGTACGCAGAGGTGCCCCTTGGGATCAAGGCAGTCGTGCAGGCAATTTACGAGCCGCCTCAGGTTGACGAAATTGATGGCATTACACTTCGTGAATGGGAGAATGAGAAGGAAATAGACGAAGTTGCGCGTCTCTGTGGTCTTGAAAGGGTTGGCGTTATCTTTACCGACTTGCTTGATGCAGGGCGGGGGGATGGCTCTGTCATTTGCAAACGACATATTGATTCATATTACCTTTCATCTCTGGAGATAGCTTTCGCATCACGGCTGCAGGCACAGCATCCGAAAGCAACGAAATGGAGTCGAACTGGACAATTTGGTTCCAACTTCGTGACTTGTGTGCTAAGTGGAGACGAGGAGGGTGCTATCACCGTGAGCTCCTATCAGGCTACGGTTTCTGCAGTGGAGATGATGAGAGCCGACATAATCGAGCCATCGGCGGAACCGTCCGTGATGTTGGTGCAGTCAGAAGAGGATTCCGATAACAAGTCACGGTACATTCCCGAAGTCTTCTATCGAAAGATCAACGAATACGGGGTATCTGCCCAGGTAAACGCAAAGCCAAGCTTCCCTGTCGAGTACCTTCTGGTCACCTTGACACACGGTTTCCCCACTGACCCCAACCCGCTTTTCGTTGACAGCACGTTCCCGATTGAGAATCGCGAGGTCATCGGTGAGAGCCAGGAGCTCCGCGCCCTTGCGAGGAAGCTTGTCTCCCACGGGGACCCGGATAAAGCAATCCGGGCAGTTTCCGATTTCCATCTTCTATGTTTCCTCCGCTCCTTATCCACATTCAACAAGGTAAGTTTCAAGCTAGCGCAGAACCCTCCAAACCCCACGGGAGACTCCCACTAACCACCAACCTGCAATCGAATAGGACGAAGAAGCCCTCCTCTGCCGCGTAGCGACATCATACAACCCCACGGAAGGTCTACAGCTCATTAACACCCCCGGATGGGCGACGTTGGTCACTATTCTTCAGGAAAGCGGTGAGCGGCCCCCCAAGCGTCCCTGGCTGGAACCTTCTCGCCTTGTGCCCCAACCCGGAAAACGTTTCCCTCCCTCCAGACCTGAGTCTCCCAAATCTGAAAGTGAACAGCTTGCTAAGAGGTTCAAGGGAGCTAGTCTAAGGTGACTGGTGATGTCCTCGAGCCACCACGCCATCCCATTTTCGTCTTCGTGCCGTGACGACCCGGACCCCGCTGTCAAACTCGCTCGTCCAGCCCGTCCAGCCCGTCCGGTTCGCTGTTATGTTAAGACTGCAAGGGGCTATATCACTTGTCCTGAATCAAGGATGAACTGGGAGGTTTGATAGTCGATCGTGGACCCGGGGAGCTCCAGGTGGATTGGACTGGGTAGTACGTAGACTTGAGTGATGGCTAACCTGACTCGTGGCATACAAGAACCTTGAAACAATTTAAGATCATTATATAACCAGCTAAATTTTATACAAAGGCAATTATCAACTTGGTTGCTGTACAATGGGCGTGAATACAGAGTGGAGAAAAGTAAGCTGGATCAGAACATCAAATGTCATCAAGAAACAGAAAGCCGTCGAAATGGGAATTTCTTCGATCAATCTCCCATCACCATATCTCTCAGCCTCTCCTCCAACACCCTTCTCCCCTCCGTCGTCTTCCAAACCTCGTGCGGCGCATCTTTAACAATATCCCACTTCTTCAGATTCTTCGTAATACCGGTCAAATCCTCCTGCTTGTCCGCCCACTTGTTGCTCTTATCAACTTGTTTCCCGGAACTAACAATCACCAGCGGTGTGTCCGCCATCTGGACATGCCGCGCAGCCTGGATCTCCGAGGATGTCATGGTCGCAGCAACCAGGTTCTCCTGGAGCTTCGCGCGGATGAACTTGCCCGTCTGATATGCACTCTGGCCGTAGACACGGTCTTCGCGGGTGCGACCCTTGAACATAGCGCCGAAGATGCGGTCAAGGCCCAACGGAGAGAGGACACCGCGGACCCAAAGAGCAAAACCACGGCTTGGATTGGCTACGTCGGGAAGATAGTCTTCATGTAGGGGGTCAATGAGGAAGATACCGGCGGTCTCGAGGAGGTGGCGGCTTGCGAAGATCCGGCTGTATATGCTTCCTACGCCTGCCGAGACGAGGATCCAGGGGCCTTCTTCGTTGGCGAGGGCGAGGGCCTCGGAGAGGGCGTCTGAGGCCATTCCTGCGGAGAAAGGAGAGGGAGCGTTATCAGACCAGGCCATTCCTGGTCTGTCCCAGTAGCAGTAGCGGCCGATCGCGCCATTTCGGTGCAGTTCGTCGATGAAGGGTTGGAAGGTGCCCTCGACTGGTCCTTCGCCACCTTCTAGGAGAACTGTCGGGGTGGACTTGTCGCTGCTGGTGGAGTTGGACACGCAGTTGAGGTGAACCTGGTAATTGCGAGCACTGACGTAGTATTTCTTACCCGGGGCTTGGAGGGTAGCGTCTCTGGCGCGGAGGATGAGTGTGATCATGAACAGGATGGAAATGATAGCAATAACGGCCATGAAGACAATCTCCGCCAGCACGGCGAGCCACTCTCGCAGGGAGCGACGGGTCTCCTCGCGGCCTGTGAGCCTCTCTTCTTCTTCGCGCTTGCCCCAGGCGACGTAGCGGTTCTGGCCGATGTTGTAGACCGCGATAATAGTTGCCCAGACCACTGTGGCTATTCCGACCCAACCCTCTTCAACCCGTATGCGCGGCACGGCGATTGTAATGCACATGTCGATGAATAGGAAGATGGCCAGCACGAGTCCCCATATCGTCATCGGCTTCGACGGGACGGAGAAAAAAATAAGCCCAAATAGAAGGTATCCAACGGTCAATGTGGTGTAGGCAAAAGCGAAGAAGCCAGATCCTCGTGTGTGTGTCGCCGGTGCGCTGACGAAGAGGGAGACCAGAAGGAAAGTCCACCAGACAAAGCTGATGCCGAGGAAGGCTGTAGACAGGCCGCGTAGAGCTCGGACACTCCAGAGGTTGTAGGGCGAGACCTATTCAAAGTTAGACTTGACTTTTGAGCCAATTTGAAGATAAAGACATACAGCAGGGTCATCAGGGCTCAGATAGGGTTCGTGGCCGCGTGGGAGAAGCCTTGTTCTCTCGTCTGGATGATCTTGATTATCCTGATGATCCTCTCCATCTCGATCGCGCCTTTCTCGGCTGCCCTGCCTCTGCTCTTGCCTCTGCTTCTGCCTGTTGAAGAGGTTCACCATGTTTACAGTTCCCAAACCGAATGTACATGGGCAAGGGTGGAGAAAATTCAGAGGAAGAGCTGATGGTTCCTCAGTTTATGAGCGAAGGCGTAGGATTGTGACGTCATGGCATTGTAGCTTAGGTGAGTGAGCCATGGATATTATGTATCATGATCTCATCTTTCTGGCAGGTGAAGGGCCCAAGGATTCGTCCCAGTTCCATAATTCGGGAGTATAGCGTGCGGTTGTAGAGCTTGATTGGTATTAGGTTGTAGCTTGTTGTACGGACATAGGAGAAGAGGAAAAGAGAACAGGTGGGGTTGAGGTTGCCGGCGAAGATGCGGCTTTCTACCTCCGCACGAGCAACTACCACCACCACCACTTACCACCCTCTGTCCATCCAAACCATCCATATTCCTCTCATTAACCGCATTGGTACTATATAATACTCTCACCA